AATATTTTTTTTTTTTTTAATTTTTTTTAAATTAATTATAAAAAAAAACAAAAAAAAATTTTTTTTTTTTTAATAATACTTTGAATAATAAAAAAAAATAAAAAAATATTAAAAAAAAAAAAAAAAAAAAAAAAAAAAAAAAAAAAAGATCAAAGCTTCACTTACGGCAACATTACCATTTAAAGCCCCGCCGATAAATCTAGCCAATAGCGCCACCCAGTACTCGGTCGCTAGGCCGAAAATGAGACTCGAAATGGCCACGCCGCCGAGCCCGAAGAGCACGACCGGCTTTCTCCCGTATTTGTCCGAGAGCGCGCCCCAGCCAATGGCCGTCAGGGCCTCGGCGACGGCATACGCCGAGACCAGGAGGCCGGCGTAGAAGGACGCGTCGGTGTCGTCGCCGCCGTGGAGGTCCTGCACCATCACGTACGTGTACGCGAGGATGGAGTTGAACGCGATTGGCTCCGAGAAGCGACATATTGCTGTTGGGTTGCGACCGGTCAGGATATAAATAAAAGTCGGACGCTGAAGGGATTGTTTGGTAGGTAGGTAGGTAGGTAGGTAGGTTGGGTTACGCACCAAGGATAGTGAGCTGCTTGGTAGGAAAGGCATGTGAAGACGAATCCTGCACCCTATCCGAAGTCATGGTTTGTTTAGTCTAGGTAGTTAGTCTGATCTAGACTCTTTGCTGCTTGCTTGCTTGCTGCTAGCCGCGATCGATGATATCCAATTAGACACCAAGACTCGGCTCAGCTCTGGTCTAAAACCTCCGAGGGGGATTTTCTTCTTCTAACTACTACCTCTCTAGTAGATCAGATCCTGTCGTTGGAGAAGATTGCTGATCGCACCCAGCTTGAAGAAGGTAGCTTAGGAGGTAGGTATGTGTGTGTTTTTTGTTTCCGCTGCTTGTGCGGGGAAGAATGGCGCTTGCGAGGTCGGCCTGGGGGGACCGCTTCGTCGATCACTGACTGATTCTTTGGAGTTTACTCGGCAGAACATCCTTGCAATATATTTGACTGCTGTAAATTGGATGTGAACTTGCTATGTCACGCTGATGAGAGATAATGGTGTGGACCTTATTAAGTTGAGTAGCGAGTAAACGGTCAGATGTGATAGTGAGAAGCTCAAGTTATAGAGTAGGCTGCCTCTCATTTGAGTACAAGTTCATATACGAGATTATATTGATAAATGAGTTTCAGGCCCGTGCACCGCTTTGTGTCAGCTACCCCTTTTATTTTCAGCAGCCAACGTATTAGCGGTAAAGTCATGAGCTTCACGTTCGCATTATGTCTTTTTTGTGTGTGTGTGATAATATAATGCCATGAGCGAAGCTATATAAGTACCGTATATATCATGCCTTCTACCCAGGCCAAATGGGTAATACAGTATCACCCCTATTATTTACATCAGTGTTCATACAGCTGCGACTCATCAGCCAGGTTAAGTAGAAAATACCTAACCAGTGTGAGAAAGTCGCGTAAATCATATACCGCCTATAATATCACGACAAGACCCTATTATACAGAGTATTAAAACGTGGCTTCGACGTCACAACCGGTGGTGCCATCCCTTGTACCCACTCCCCCTTTTCCGGGTATCGTTGGACGTATCATTGGACAAGCGGACCAATGACGATATCCTTTACAGGACTTAAGACAGTCTTGACATCGACATTATCCCTATAAGAATTTCATAGTTAGCTTTTTCTACTAGTTACTGTTTAAAACTTTCTTAACCTAGTAGGTACCTAATACAGCTGAAGCGGTATGTCTTACCAGTTATCGTCCCTACCGAAACTGTCCAAATGATCGAGATATGCTTTCCCATTCGCACTATCACCAAACCGCACAAAGTGGAATGAGATGTGATTTTTATCCAATTTCCGCTCCTGTAGTACCTTGTTTAGCCGCCCTATCGGCCGTTCGACGCGGTATGCGACCTCTTGGTCGTCGCCCCAGTCGCCGTCCGTAAAAACGTATATGCTCGTCGGTTTCTTGGCGAAGAAGTTGAAATTCATGCCTAATTTCCGTATCGGTAAGTGAGGGATGAGCACAATATCGACGAGTTGCCCGAACCCAAGCTCGATTAGCCCGGGCTCGCGGCGGTAGCTGTGGTGCGCCACTATGTCGGTTAACTTTTTGATTCGCCGCCTGCGGTGTAGGCACTTTGGGTCGGATGCGAAGGAAAACTCTACATCGTGTCCTTCTAATTCCCTAACTAGATGGAGAAGCGCGAGGGATGTCTTCTCGACTGATTGCGCGTGTTTCTCCATAGTTGTGGAATCGTCGAAGAAGAAGATGTGATGTCGGCCGGGTACGTTACTCTTGAGGTCGTCCACAAGCTCGTTAATCTCTATATCGATAGCTTCCCGAGGTTTTCTTGCAATAAAGCCAGAGGTAGATTGTAATTTCGCGATGTGCTCTCCTAGCGCCGTGAGACATAGACCTCGTTCGTGCTCCATCGGCAATAAATCTGAAGGTAGTGTATCAAGTGCTGGGCGCTGACTTTGATCATTTGGGATGTCGAAAATCTCATTGAACAGAGTCTTTAGTTGCTTGGCATTGTAGCGGTTATTGGCGTTGGGTAGCAGCATGTGCTTCTCGATCATGTCGATGACACGGGGTGTGATACTATCTCCGACGGATTGACAATGATCGCGAATGCTTGTATGCATTTCGTCAACCACAGGCAAGCGGCCTACACCATCGTGGAAACAGGCCTCGTAATCACTTCCGCGGAATGCTTTAATAGTCTGGTGATAGTCTCTCCGTTGTTCGTTGTACTTGGCTTTCTCCCTGGGGCCCCCCTTTACCCATGCGCAAGCATCGCTCAAGACAGCACCGAAGGAGAATATGTCGGCTTTGGTGTTAATCATGTTTGGAGCGTTCTCCCGATAGGAGGATGTATGACTGCATTCAGGTGAACCTACCCCTCGTTAGGACATGAGGAGAGAACGTGGCCTGAGGAGGACGTACTGTATAGTTGGTTTCCAAGGTTATCTAGACCCATTGCCTCACTGCTGTTTGCCTTGGACTTTCTGACATGCGTGAATAGTCCGAAATCTGCAATCTTGGGGATGAAGTCATAGCGCGACCCTGAGCGACCCTTGAAAAGCAAGATATTATCGGGTTTGATATCTTCGTGAATCCTAGAGAGATCATTTCAATTAGTTGATATAAACTTCATTCGATACAAATCAAGGGAGTAATACCCATTGACACCATCTTCGTCAACGTTCATCATCAAGTGATGGATGCGGCCCAGTCCCTCAAGGCATTGTGGTATTAAGCTCTTCCAGAACTCTTCAATTTCGGTACCTTTCGGGGCACGTTCCCTGAACAGAGCAGCCAGGTCTCCTCTATCAGCATGCTCGAGTATGATGTTGTACGTGCCATTTAGCTGGAAAGATCCATAGTAGGCAATGATGTTCGAAGAGGGTGAGGTTTTAAGCATTCGTAGCGCCTTGACTTCGTTGATATACAGCTTCTCGAACTTATGACTATGATACGTCTTCAGTACGAATATGTCCTGATTGGGTCGACCGTGTTGATCCTAGATTGAAACCGAATGAAATGTAAGTTATGTGAAGTTTGACAAATTTAAGGAATTTTATTATTGGTAAATACCCTCGGTGCAAGTGAATTACACGAATCGTCAATCTTTATCATCTGGACGACCGCTGCGTCTCCTTGGGAGATTTGAGACACCTTTTCAATAGGTAACACGATATCATCGTCGAGGCAATGATCGTCTAATTGAGCATCGCTAAAAATGAAGGGGAAGAAGGTCCATTGATGTTTAGAGAATTTTCCAAATAACCTAGCGTAAATGGGACCTGTTGGCCATTCCGCTGGATGTTGCTTCAATGGCAACTTAGCATCATTTAGGTTATGCCTGGTAAACTCTTGTAAGTGGCTAACAGCGTCGCAGTATACGAGAATCGAGAAGATGCGGATATAATGGTTGCGTATATTCTCGATATTGAAAGTAAGGTTGCCCCTGAACGCCTTTAGGACAGTGTTTACCCGAGCTTTGGTCCAGTAGTCACGTAGGACCTCGAATGGAATGAAGCTCGTATCGTTGTCGAAGGCATCCAATCCGACGAATCGTCTTTTCTTTTTGTCTATATGCGTGCAGAAGTCGGTAAATGGCGCTGGGTCTAGGTAAGGCTCGTCATTGGTAACACCTTTTGTTACCTTCTTCCGGGCGCCGTGGCCCTTCTTACCTCGCCCCATGAATATACCTAGTTTCTAGAAGGGAGGCCAAGGTGACGGCGGCCGTGAGTAGGTAATTGGAGTAAATATACAATTCTCCTAATACGGGGTAAATTAAGTGCATAGAGAGCTCAGCAGAAACTACACGAGAAGAATCAAGCGACTAATAGTTGAAATAAATATAAGAAATTTATAGGTGAGTAAGACAGGCACTACAATACATGTCGGTCACCGAGTGCAAGAAGCAAACACCGATCGACTATTACCAGCAGGCATACAGCTAGGCAGCAGGTCAGGTCATAGTCGCTCGCTCTCCTTCTTGGAGAGCCTAGCTCTGGAATCACGCTTTTCGCTAAAAGAACGATGAGACTAACGTATATTTCCCAACACTAGCTAGGTAGCCGTCGCCTAACAAGGCTATGTTTCGTTTGTTTTCAATTGTCAGCAAGGTCGCGAACCACCCTGCAATGAGACAAGTAGAGGAACAAGCTGAACGGAGAACCCCGCCTTGGGAATTAGTTATTTCGATTTGGGGGCTACGGTTCTTTCGCGCGGACCCCAATAATCATATTACTGTATAGGATAGCTTTTAAGGCGCTTGATAGACCTAAGCAGTAATTCATGGTCTATTCCTATATGTCATTTTATGGCTATATGCGTCTCTCCTGCATGCCGGCAGTCTCCTTTTAGTATACACCATAAATTATCGCACCACTTAACATAAGCCCATACCATAGTAGAATATGTTAAGGAGACAGTTCATAATATACGTTAAGTACATTTAATATGCTTAGCATCATATCCTGCCCCGTATAGGGGTATCATGTAATCCCATCCTACACGATATGTATAATACTACAAAAATTACTTTATAAATTCCTTTCCTCATCCATAGTAGATCGACCTTCTGCCAAGGGTAGTAATGGGTTCTGCTTTGCTTGCTGTCTTTTCCGCCTCATATAAACAAATAATAAAAACCAAGAGATCAATATAATGGCCATCATGGGTATGGATACAGAGAAAAACAGTTTCAGAGCGTCTTTCCGGATGACCCAGTCCGAGCCAAGAGACCCATCATCGTCCCAGTGGAATACGCCGCTGCTGAATAGGGTCTGTCTTAAGGTTAGAAATCGCTGATTAAACTGTGGGATCCTAGTCCGTACAGCTATAAAAGTCCCCGGGAGGAAGATAAGCGTAAATATTGTAATTACGTGCATCGACAACGTCTCCTGTTCGGTTCGGACCGCGATATCTTCCATTCGATCCGAGGATATCTTTGCGCTACTTGCGAAGTACTCGGATACCTTCTCGCTCTTATACTGCAAGAGTGTGGTGAACTTATTGCTACGTTAGCCTCGTGCATAAGGACATTTGACGTATTTAACGTACCATCGTTTTGTCATTTTCCAGTGCTTGGGATAATACCTGTAAGCGACGATAGTGTATGTCGAGCTCCCTTTTTGTATTTCGTATTTTAGCGAAGAAAGCAGCCAGGTCGTTATCGCAAAGGCCTTTCTTCATGTATGTCGTGAATCCGTATGACTTAATAACCGAGTGGTAATGTTCTTCGATCGCTCCAAGTACCCCTTTATTCTGTTCAAGGACTACTAATGATCTCTCTAGCTCTATAGACAATTGACTCATGTTCTGATATTTCTGGAAAGAAAACTCCTTTTCGAGATCGGAAAGTTTATTGCGTTCTTCTTCATCTTCTTCCTCTTGTAATTCCGGCGTGTCTTCAACCCCTTTTTCTGCTGTGTTTTCCTCATCATTAGGGGGTGGTCTGCTCTCAAGTCCGGAAAATCGCCGGATGGCTTTGATTAGGTTGGATGAGGACTGACGAAACGTCCATCGCTTGGTACTACTAAATATACCCGTCGATGGACTTTGCGGACCAAAGGTATTAGTGTTTCGTGGCGTATGCGCTGTCTCGATCTCCGTTGGTCTGGTCACTTCATCAACTGGCGCTGTCTTCCCCTCGATAGAATTGGCATTAACCGCGTCGTCAAGGTATTCAATGTATTCGGCCCAATTTTCAGAGCACCAATCAATCATGATCATATGTACCTCAAGGGCAGCGATGAATGATGTTTCGGGGTTATTAATAGCCGTAGCCTTCAGGCGTCTTTGGTGCTCCGTGGCGGACAAGATGCGCGTCACCATAATTCCGTTCCCTTTAAGGATAATCCAAAGACTCCGGCCATTGGTAACATCAAACGAGTAATAGAGGGCAACTTGGCGTAAGGGCCATTGATTCTTTTCGATAGGATCGCCAGCTCGCTCCACAGATAGGAGGTTGAAAGCATGTTGAATTTGTACTCCGGATCTTCTAAGCTGTGGTATTGCAAACTCTGAACTATTATCTTCAAGATAATCTTCGTGTCTGAATATCGCATGTGCCACAGGCCGTTCGCGGGTAGAGAAAGTTAAGACGAAATCCAAAAAGGATGGCATTACTTGATAGTATGTAAGTAAAAGCAAGAGTTGATCCTTGCTGCACCCTAACGCCCCTCGAGCCGATTTGGACTGAAGGAATCTATCCGCGCATTAGCCACAAGTGCCAACTGTACATTCGAATCCACTTACATCATTCGCCAAAGGGGTGCGCCATCTTCTTCGTCGATATAGCTGCTAAGTTGATCAACCGCGTCGGGGGACTTTAACTTATGAAACGCTACCCATTCGTTAATATTTGTCTTCAAAACTATCTGAGCCATAGACAGTGACACACCATTGCCGTTTTCATATAGTTCGATGAAACCTACTGAACGATATGTAGGATGAAATACCCCTCTAGTATTGAGCTTGGCGCGGTAAGACTCAAGCGTGTGATAATACGCTTCTGTTCGGACAAGATTTGTAGGATACTCTAGATATTCCGGCGCCATGGTTAATTGAAACAGTCTACGTATAATAAAATACACCGTGCTTTGTTTAAATAAATAAAAATACCTAGTAGAAGTGTTGTCATGGATTAGGGAGGTGTAGGGGTCTGGGCGAGCCATATAAAAGGAGTATCCAACTTGGGGATCGGTACCCTCCCTGTACCACTTGAGAAATGACAGGCTTAGATGCTCGCGAAGGGGCCAATTGAATAGCACAATTTATGTTATTCCAGTTTACTTTCAGCTTAGATAATCTATTTTCACATGCGAGGCGCTTTTCATAAGTTCCTCTTTACCATTCAAGTGCTCCGCCTCTTCAAATAATGCACAAGACAATCAATTACCATATGTTATCGTCGTCCCTCGAATAACGAAGTTGCTCGTATATATGCTCTTTTTCTTCCTGCAGACCTTCATGAGTAAGGTACCTAATGTTAGACGTCATGATTCGACAACGTACTGGAGTGAGCTTTCGTGGAATCTTAAACCAATAAACTGCTTCACCTTCAGCTGAAGCCTATTCTGTCTAATCAGCTCGAACTCTTATTCAGGCGGCCTCTCACGTATCAATAATAGTATCTTACATGAACCGAGATGTCTCTATTAAACAATCTTTTTAAGTAAAGTCTCAGATCTTCCGGCCGGAGGCGATACGTCGATACTGTGTCTTTCACAGCCATGATTTGGTGGGCTGTATGCGATCTGAAGGGCGAAGTAACAAAATTGGCAGTGTTCCGCCCCCTAAATCTGCCTTACAATACCACACTGCTAACCTACCTTATAAAGACAAATCTCACATGAGGCTCTTCTGCACACCATTCTATCATTAGGAATAGGACTCGAGTGTGGAGCACCATAATCTCACAACCCCTCATCGGAATAGGTACTGTAATAAAAGTAATTGGTCGGATGCAGGTAATACAGTCTTACACGCACGAAGATATAGTACCACACCAAATCTCCGCCAATAAAAGAGATATCATTCGAACAGGATGTATAAGCTTACAAAACGGCAAGACTTATCACGTACAACCGTAGGATCTGGAGAACTCGGGATCCCGTCTGCTCTCTCATAGATAAGGCAGATATTAGACTCTTATTGAGGGCAGACCGGACGCATCCCCCTTCGCCTTCTCGTACCTGCACCCGTCTACCCCCCGGGAGGCTCAGCGGGGCGCGCGTAGCGGGCTGCGCATGGTACAGCCCTAGGCCCAACCGGCTCGTCTTATGATGGCCGGGGCCTTCTTGCCCCCCTTCCCTTCTCCCCCTTCACCACTCCTTTGCGCAGCTTCTCTTACTTTGCGTATGTTAGAATTCGATGGACTGCCTCCTCGTGTCAACGGCCCAGCAGCCCTTTCTTACCACGTAAATGTTGCTCCGGCAATGTGTGTCCGATGTATCGCCTTCTCCATTGACTGATTCCAATTCTCCTCGTTCCTAGAACCACAATACATTAATGCCGGCGTAATATATAAGATACACCTCGACAATATTGATGACTTCTCCACCAAGACCATCAACGGGGAAAGTTTGTGACCTTCCTAGTTTGCGACAGGCAGCTGGAATCTTCTTGGAATTGTGATGGAACTCGATACTGCGTAGCGTGCCTTGATTAATAACTGAAATCCCAATCAAGTGACGGAAATATATCCCTTAAGTCTCCAAACATTGCCCAACAAAGTGGCTAATACCTAGGTAAATACCTGTCATAGAAGTGTCTCTTGCGAAAAGGTAAGGTACCTGTTATCGTTCAATATAGATCCGTCTCTGGAATCCTATGATACCCAATGGATTTCATTCTTCTGTAGCCTACGTGCTAGTAAACAGAATTCTCCTTGCAATCGCCAAGCCAACCATCTTGCGACTCTTTAATGTCTAAGGTACCTAACTAGGGGCTTTTAGTTATGAGTCAAACATCTAAAGGCCTTATCCTCTCTCAAATTCGCACAACTTATCCGCTTGGACAACTGCTCTTTCGCAATCTCTATCTCATTGCACCCTTCATGAGGATCTCTCACATCAGCCTCACATCTAGAAAGCGATATGGCAACCCAAGATGTCGTACCATCTTGTCCAAGTGCTCAACTTAAGACGCCGAAGGGTACTCGCGATTGGGCTGGTAAAGACCTGCTCCGGCGTGACTATGTCTTGTACAAAACTCTAGCTCTGTAAAATTTACTCTTCTGCTAATTATCAAAAGCCAGACGATAAGTGATGTTTTCAAGCGCCACGGCGGCATTCCTTTGGACACACCCGTCTTCGAACGGAGAGATGTCCTATCAGAAAAAATACGGCGAGGATTCACATCTTATATACGATCTAGATGACCAAGGCGGGGAGCTTTGCTTTTTGCGATAGGATCTCACGGTTCCGTTTGCCCGTTGGCTAGCTATAAACACCAATGCCAAGCAAGTTAAGCGTTACCAAATCGCCAAAGTGTACCGGCGAGACCAACCAGCGATTTCCCGTGGTAGACTTTGTGAGTTCTATTAATGGGACTTCGACATTGCTGGCGTTTACGACCCGATGATTCCCGACGCTGAAATTTTGCGTATTGTTGCTGAGGTATTACGACCCTCGAACTCGACATCACTATAAAACTGAACCACAGGCGTATGTTGGACGGCTTGTTTACGGTTGTCGGTGTTCCTAAAGAAAAGATACGCAGTATTAGCTCTGCGGTAGACAAGCTCGATAAAGCAACATGGGACGAGGTAAAGAGAGAAATGGTTGAGGATAAAGGTCTTTCGGACGAGGTCGCGAACCGAATTGGCGGATATGTCAGGCGCAGCGGCAGCATGCGTGAAATAATCGACGTTCTCAAGGCTAACTTAGTGTAATAAGGGCTGTAAAAGGCTTGGAATATAATCAGGATTACTAATAATTTTCTAAGGTTTTAAGGTCTTTAGTTCTTCCCTTTTTTCCAAGAAAAAATTTTAACTTATTTGTAAATAATTTAAAATATGTATTTTTTGGTTTAGTTAAATTTTTATCGATATGTTAACTTTGCTTGTATATAATTACATAGTTATATAATATTTTTTATTTAATAAATTTTAAAATAATTATTTTATATTTTTTGTTAATTATTTTCTTTAACCAATAATTTTTTAATATTATTATTTGTATAATATTATTTTTTTTTTTTTAAGTTTATTTTTAAGCTAAAGTTTTAAATAAAAGGTATAATTTTTTTTAATAAAGTTTAAAAATTTGTTAATTTTTTTAAGTTTTATTAATAAAATATTAAAATTATTTATTTAACACTTTTGTTATTAAAATAATTAAAAAATTCCTAAATTTAATATTTTTTAATTGGTTAATTTTTTTATTTAATTAAATATTTTACACTTTTTTAAACTTATATAAAATTTTTAACCTTATTTATATAATATTTTTTAAATTTTATTAAAATTATTTTTTACAAAATTTAATTAAGATTAAATAATATTTAATTATTAACGCGGTAAGGTTTAATAAATAAAACGTAAAACGAATTGTAAATTTTTTACCTTTTAAATAAATAAAGTTTAATAATAATAAAAGAAATTATTTTTTAAATTTTAAAAAAGTTTAATATTTTTTATTTAATTTTTTAACAAGTTGTTTAATTTTAATATTTTTATTATTTAATATAATTAATTGGTTTTTTTTAAATTTTAATATTTTTTTTTATTAACTTAATTTTTTATGCGTTAACGATTTTTTTTTAAGTGTTGTTATATTTTGGTATAAATTTATTTTATTTAATGTATATATAATTAATTATTTAAATTTTAAAAAATGTTAGTAAGTAAATTGTAAATTGTAAAATAAAAACTATAATTTACGTAAAATAATGTTATATGTAATAATGTTAATTTTAAATTATTATATGCGAATTTTGTTATTAATAGTAAATTTTTTTAATTGGTTATTTTATAATTAACGAATGTTTAAATGTAAATTTTAAAGGTTTAATTAAATTATTTTATTTAATTATTAGTTTAAAAATAAAAAGTTGTATTTATTTATGGTTTAATATTTACAAATTTAAAAAAGTTTTGTTATAAATAAGTAATAAATTTAAAGTTTTAATTAAAAATAATATTTAAGGAAATTTTATGTAATTTTTAGTAAAATTTAATAAAGATTTTAATTAAATTTATAATTTTTATTTTTTTTATTTTAAAAGGTATAAAATATACTATTTTGGTAAACGGGTTAATTATAATTTAAATAAAATTATAACTATTAAATAAAGGTAAATTTATAATAAAATTTATAACGATAATATGTTATAACATATAATATAGTTTTATAAATTAAAGTAAATTATAAAAAATATATCGGTTTATTTTATTACGTTAATATTTTAAATATTTTTTTATAAAATTTTATATAATGGTTTTAATATTAAGTTATTAAAAATTTTATATGATAAGTTTTAAAATTTTATTTATTTTTATATATTTTATTATTAAAGTATTATATTTTAATTTTATAATTTTTTTTAAAATATTTAAAGTATTTATAAGCGTTTTTTTTATATAAAAAATTGTTTTATAATTTAAAATTATTATTTAGATTATTTTTTTTTTATATATAATAGGTTATTTTTTTTTAATTTTTTAATTTGTTTTATAAATTTAGGTAATTATTTTAAAATTAAAAAATTATTTAAACAATTTAATGTAAAGATAATTATTATTAAATATATTATATTAAAATTAAACAAATGTAAAAAATGTTTTTTTTATAATATTAACGTAATTAGTTAATATTTAACTTTTCTTTTTTTAAACCGATATTATAATAATTTAAATAAAATATTAACTTTTTTATTTTATTTTTTGAAACAATAATTAATAATAAACCAATATAATAAAAATTATTACGTTTATTTTATTTATTTTTTATTTAAAATTTTAACAGTTATAAAATAAAATAAATTTTAATGGTTGGAAAATATTTTAATTTAATGTTATATTTTTTCGAAATAATATTTTTATTAATTAAAAAAGTTAATAATTATAAATAGTTTTTTATTATATATTTTATAATTTATTTCTATTAAAATTAATTTTTAAAAATAAAAAGTTATAAGTTAAAACTTTACCTTTTTATCTTTTTAAAAAAAAACGGTTTTAATAATAAAATTTAAAATATTAGTTTTAAAAAAGATTTATAATTTAAGATCGAAATAAATAAAAATTAAAGCTAACGTAAATTTAGTTTTTAAATTTTTAAAAATTTTATTTATTTTTAATATTTATTTTTAATTTTTTTTATTTCTTTTATTAACTTTTATAATAAGTTTAATTATTATTAAAAATTTTTTAATAAATTGTTTATAAAAGTTTATAAAGTTTATAAATTATTACGATTTTTTAAAATTAATTAATAGTTTTTATTTTATAATATATTTAATTTTATTTTTAAATATAAAAATATTTTAAAAGTTAATAATATAACTTAAAAATTTTATTTTTTAAACTATTTATTTATATTTATACGAAATAATTGTAAAATAATACGTGGTAAATTTTTTTAAAATTTTTTTAATTATTTTATTATATTTTTCTTAAATAATAATATATATAAATAAGTTATTAATATATTGTTAATCGGGTGATACAAATTAAAAATAAGTCTTAAAATAAAAGTTTAAATTGATTTAAAGAAATAGTTATTTATTATGTGTGTGTGTATGGCTTTTATAAACGATAAAAAGTTTATATTAAAGTTAGCCACCCCGTTAATTAATTAAAAATTATTTACAACGTTGGTTAAAAACTTTGTTTATGTAATATACTTTTAAATCTTTCGAAACCAACGTTTTAAAAGATTTTATATAATTAATAAAGTTATTTTTTTTATCTTTATACCGTTGTTATTTTTTAGTTTAAGTGATGGTTATTTATAGTTTTATATATATTTTATAAAAAAGATGTATATGTTACTTTTTAATTAAAGTAACAGTTATAAAAAAATTATATTTAAATAAATATTTTTACTTTTTTATTAATATTTTTTATAAGTGTTATAATTTGGGATTTATATAAATAATTTAGTTTAATTCGTGCGTTTATAAACTATAAATTAACCGTTATTAATTTGTCTTTTTTAATAAATTATGGTATTTATAAAAAATAAGTTAACCGTTATTAATTTATTTTTTTTTTAAAGTAAAAACTTATAAAAAGTAAATTAATTATTATTAATTAAAACTGTTTTTTTTAAGGTAAAAATAAATATGTAAACAATAAAAATTAAACGTTAAAAATAATTTTATTTTAGATTTTACCCCTGACGTTTTAAAAGTTATATTATTAACAAATTAAAGTAATAATTATTATTTTTATTTTTATTTTTATTTAATTAATGGTATAACTTATGTTATTTTATAAGTTTAAAACGTATTTTTATAAGTTTACATTTTTTTTGGCTTAATATATATTAAAAGTTTAGATTTTATATATTATAAACGGTATATTTAAGTTTTTTACAATGTTTTATTAACCAATTATACTTTTTTTTGGCTTTTTAAAGTATAAATAAAAATGGTTTAACATACCTTTTAATATTATAACAAATACCTTTAAATTTATAAATGATAATGTTATTTTCTAATATAATAATATTATTAGTTATTTTTTATAATTATTTAATAAAAACTATGTAAACTTTAAAGCTTTATTTTTAGTTATTTAATTAAATTATGTTTAAGTTTAATTAAAAGTTATTTTATTAATAATAACTTTTAAAAATTTTTATATAAATAATTATCCTTAAATTTTGGCCAGGTTTTAAGCTTTAATTTTAATATAAACACGTTTTTATTATTTATATTACTTTTTAAAATTTTAAATATTATAAGTTATTATTATAACTTTTTTATATTTTTAACGTATAATAATAATAACGTTTTTTTTAAATAATGTTAGCTTTTTTTAAAATAATTATATAATTTTTTAAATTAACAATGGTTTATTTAAATAAATTATTTTAAACTTTATTATAATTAATTATAAAATTTTAAAATTAATTATACAATTAATTTAAATTTAAATTTAAATATAATATATAAATTTAATTAATTAAATTAAATATTATATTAAAAAGTCCTTTTTTTTGCTATTATATAAACTATATATTTTATCGTTTATAAAAAGGTTTTTTTTACGGTTTATAATTATTATTTTGGCTTTTTTTTTTACCGCAATTAACGTTAGTTTAACTGGCAGATAAATCATTATATAAAGTGTATTTCGAATATTAAAATTAACGTAAAACCACGCTTTATGTTATTTAATATATATACGGAGTTATATATATTAATTGGTAAAGTTTTATTAGCTATTAAATTTAATGATTATTAAAATAACTATATCAAAAATTATTAAAGATAACATTTTAATTATTTAAAATATAAATAAAATAAATAAATAAGTAAATAAATAAATAAATAAATATATAATAAATAAATAACCAGTTTATAAATTTATAATTTAAAATAATATATAATAATTATTTTAAACGTAAACCAAAATTTATAACTATTAATCAAATAATATAAATTAAAGATAAGTTTTAAAATAAAAACTTAAATTAATTTAAAGAAATAATTATTTATTATATGTATATGTGTAACTTTTATAAACAACAAAAGGCTTACATTAAAGTTAACCACCCCGTTAATTAATTAAAAACTATTTATAACGTTGGTTAAAAACCTTGTTTATGCGATATATATATTAATAGTTTATTATTTATTATATTTTTAAAGATATTATTTATTATAAATTAAAAGATAACAAATATATTATTTAATTTAAAAAATATAATAAAATATTTATAA